TTAAAGAAGAAGAAGGAGTGAGACTGACCTTGAAAAGACAGAGAGTGGCAGAGGATGCTGCAAAGATGTTGAGATGGAATAACCCTCTACAAGATTCGCCGGAGAAGATGAGATTTGACCGGAAAAGATGCAATTCGCCTTGAGAAAGTGGACTGAATTGATTGACAGCAGGATGTGAGAGATACGACAAGAAAAGCTTTGATCGTGGAAGAAGGGTATTTAAAGGGAAAGTGGTCCCATTTGCCGAGACGTCAGGAAGCTAAAGGGATTCGAATTTCAAAAGGGACATTAATTCCGAGGCCAACCGCTCGGTGCCCCACACAATCATCTTGAGCCGTCAAATCATCATAAGCCGTCAAGTCATCATTGAGTCTTTAAATAATCACACCCTAATTAATGAGGGAGTGATTATGGGGGCAGTTGAGGATGCCAATGACGGCTCGGACTAGATCCAACTCGCATAATGAAGTTTGGGCCTGATAATTGACCTGGACCCAAACTTGACGTCCACAAAGCAGACCGGGTGTAGTGGATTGCTGTAAAAGGCCTTCAAAGAGGATTCAAGCCCATAACCGTTTAACCTGGAGGATAGGCCCAGCGGCGGAAGTTAGTTAAGAATGTTCTAGAATAATGTAAATGGGTTAGAAATAGAAAGGAGAAATGGGGGATTGAAATGTTTGAAGTGTAATGAAATTCTGTCAATTTAGAGAAAGAAAATTCATGCATCTTCATGGGGTAACTTTTTCTCTATAGATTTTTTTTTTTTTTTGGAATCAAAACCTTTTGAGATATGACGCGGGAAAGGTTCATATAGCTGAAGCATGCCTGAAAATTAACGGATTTGAGTAGATTTTCGATGGGTTGGAAAAAGGTTAAGTAAAAAAAAAAAATTAAATGTGACCATATTCTACCCAACAAGATAAAATAGAAACAATCCAATTTTCCTCATTTTTCTTTTTAATTTTTTATATATATATTTAAAATTTTTGTGATTGAAAATTAAAGTCGGTGGGATTTTCACATATCTTAAAATTATTTTGAAAATTATTTTGTGAGTGACAAGCATATCCAATCTATTTCACTTGATCTGACCCAATTAGGTTTTCTTTTTTCTTCTAATTGGTGACAACATTTTTATTTTTTTTAAACTTTTATAATATTGAATTTCTTGACACTCCATAATTCACCATTACATGCGAACACTTTCGTAACCCAACGGTTTGGTTGCTTCCTGTTATCTTTAGAAGTCCGACTTCGAACTTTCACACTTTTAACTTCTAGTCAAACATTCTTGCCGAAAAAAAAAAAAAAAAAAAAAAAAATTTGTTTAGTTAGCAACGACATATTTATTTAAAATTATATATATATATATATATATATATATATATATATATATATATAAAGTATATGTATATATACATTTTTTTAGGGTAAAGTACAACCACACCTTCTGAGGTTTGGCAAAAGGACATTTAGAGAAAACTTACCTATTTTTTGGACAAAGACACCCCTGAAGGTTAAAAAATGGACAAAGACACCCCTTTACATGAGAAATTGACCAAATTACCCTTTGACTATTTAGGAGACTTTTTTAACTTTACCATTTAATAAATTGGACCAATCTACCCTCATGCACAATTTATGCATTAAAAAAGGTCAAAAAAAAAAATTTACTTTTTTTTTTTTTTTTTACTTTATAAATGTCCCAACTTTTTTAAAATGTAGACGTCTAAAATGATTTTTTGATCCGATACATATATTTCAAATAAATTATATTTTGTTTTTACTTCTTTTCTTTTTCTTTTTTATTTTTAAATTAAGATACTTAATTCTTTCATCTAAAAAAATTAATCCAATCTCTTTTCCTTAAAAAATAAAAAATATGGTACCTGTATAACTTTATGATCTTAAATTATATATCAAATATTATACATTTCCCAACATAAAAGGGGAAAAAAAATAATAATAAAACAAAGGGAAAAAAATAATAATAAAACAAAGGAAAAAAAAAAAAAAACAAAGGCATGCATAAATTTTTTAAGGAAAAGAGATTGGTTTAATTTTTTTAGATGAAAGAATTAAGTATCTTAATTTAAAAAGAAAAAATAAAAAGAAAAGAAGTAATAACAAAATATAATTTATTTGAAATATATGTATTGGATCAAAAAATCATTTTAGACGTCTACATTTTTAAGAAGTTGGGACATTTATAAAGTAATAATAATAAAAAAAGTGAACAATATAAAGGTTTTTTTTTTTTTTTTTTCTTTTCTTTTTTTTTTTAATGCATAAATTGTTCATGAGGGTAAATTGGTCCAATTTATTAAATTGTAAAGTTAAAAAAGTCTCCTAAACAGTCAAAAGGTAATTTAGTCAATTTCTTATATAAAGGAGATGTCTTTGTCTATTTTTAAACCTTCAAAGGTGTCTTTGTTTAGAAAATAAGTAAATTTTCTCTTAGTATCCTTTTATAAAACTGAAATTGTTGCTGTACTTTACTTTTTTTTGTCGACTGCAAACCAAACCCAACGAAATTGTTGTACTCGACCGCACGAGCCTCGTTGATGCTTTTTACCCTTTGTAACACCATTCTTTATTTATTTATTTATTATTTTCGTAAGATGTAACACCATTCTTTACTGAGTGCATTAAAAGGTTATCAATCTCTCTCTTTCTCAATCATGTGACTTTAGTGATTTTGTTCTTTGATATGTGGTGACTTATATTTTTATATCTTGTAGTTGGAGAACCTAGTGAAAAAAAGGTTATGCTCACGTTGTAATAAAGAAAGAAAATTCTAAGCTTGGTTCTCTATGTTTCATGAAAACTAGTAATAGAATAACATTGAATTAATCTAACCAAATTTCCTTTTTCAAAAAGAAAAATTTGAAAAACAAAACAGAAAAGGCAAATCTTATGTTTGGAGAAGAATACCCTATGATACCCAGGGTCATCTTAACGCTTGAATGTTTTGAGTCCCACCACCACATCCATGATCCAAGGACTATGAGTGTCCCGAGATACCATACCCCCAGAATATTCAATACTTTCTCGTTTGGTATTGAATATCCCGGTGTATGGTACTCGAGGTCATCATAGCCCTTGAATGCAGTTCGTGGGGTCATCTTAACCCTTGAACGTGGTGAGCCACCACCACATTTATGATTCAAGGGATGCCAGAGCCCCGGGGTACCACACTCTCGAAATTCAATACTTTCTCGTTTGATATTGAATATCCCGAGAGTATGGTACTCAAGGGTATCATAACCCTTGAATGTAGTTCCCAAAATCATCTTAACCCTTGAATGTGATGAGTCCCATCACCACATTCATAATCCAAGGGTTATTAGTATCTCAGGTACCGTACTCCCAAAATATTCAATACTTTCTTATTTGGTATTGAATACCCCAAAAGTATGATACCCGAGAGTCATCATAGCTCTTGAATGTGGTAAATCGATGCCGGTGCCCCCATGCATTCAGTTCTTTCTCATTTGGAGAATCCTTACTTTTTTAAGCTACTTGATATGATAGTCTCCATCCACTCAATGCTAATTGGTCTAGTATTAAAAGCAATCCTTTCATCTATTGTTTCAAGATTATGTTCCTTAAATTTTTCAGTCAATAGGGTATATACTTAGACTATCCAATCATCTATTGTTTCAAGAATTATACCACTATTTTTTGTTTTTTAGGGGGTATCTTATTCTTTGAGCTAGACTATCCATTCATCTATTTTTCCAAGAATTATTGTTTCTCAATTTTTTTTTTCGTTTCTTACTATTTGAACTAGGCTAGGGGTATCTTACTATTTGAACTAGACTAAACTCTCTGAGCTAGACTAAACCTTGTGTCCTCCAAAAAAAAAAAAATTTCAATTGGGCATCTTACCCTTTGAGCTAAACTATTCCCCTTGTGTGGAATTTTGCCCAAAAAACAAAGTCATATTTACCACAATAATGATGACGACGACTGAACAAAAAAAAACATACAAGGTGGTTACGATGGTTCAAACGCCATCAACTAATTTTTTTTTTTTTTTAAATTTTTTTATTAGTATAATCAATTTTAGCCCAGTCTAAAAATAATATTATTACTAATATTAGCCCACACAAACAAATATTAGCCCGTTCTATTGACAATTTCTGAATCCGTCCTTACTCATGTCCACAATTTATATAAAACATTCAACTTGCAGGTTATCGGCAGTTTAACCGATCTTCAACCTAGATCTGTCAACGTTTCTCTTCCGTGACACCAATTGTTTTTAAATGCTTACAACCTGGTACCTTGTTTTCTGGCAAACCAACTATTAAATATTTTCAATTTTCTTGACAAAAATATGGAACCCTTTTAGTACTCGCATTGAATAATTGAATGACAATTCACTTTAATGTTATGTTATGTTGGTTCTCTTCTCTGGGCATCAAAAACTTATTTGCATTTGAATATCAAGCGGCTGAGAATGATCCGAGTCTGCTCAACCATTTCATTTTTCCACAGTCCAATCTGATGCCTGAAGTGTTCTGCTGCCAGTAACAGCGTTGCGAACGAGCAACGACACATCATCCAAATTCGGAAGATGTCAAAGAGGGGATACCCAAGTTAAGGTGTGAATCCCACCACGACACCCCCACACATGTAGGAAGAAAATTCCCACCTGTGAACAGTACATCCCATTCTGTCTGGGATGTACCTTACAAAAATGTTAGTCCAACCTTTTTGTAAGGTGCATTCCGAATGTCATACTGTTCTACTGTTTCACTGGATTCGGGTTACACTCACATAACACCCTTTGGCGGATGTATCGTTTTTCATAGCAAAATGAAAGCTGCTTAAGCCTCTTGCCATAGCTATAAACCTGTTTTTCTAAAACTGCCACAGTTTTAATCGCTCAGCTACTAAACCAACTGGTCAGCTCATAACCAGATATTGCAAAATGATCAAAACCATCCATCACTTGAACCATTTCTGGGTGTATCATTCAACTGAAGATCATCTAAAAAAGTAACCATGCCATCCGAATAACTTTCCAGAATAGTTACAGTGCAGGCCCCAATAATTTGGGAGAACTCCGGAACTAGAAGAACACACACCACACACAGACAGAATCAACACTGCAAAAGACCATTTCCTGAATCTACATTTTCAAAATTCACAAAACATAATTTTAGTGTCAGAACAAGGGTATTATGAAGAAAGATCCATGAGTTGTTCACATCAAAACTTTAAAAATATTTAGCTCAACGAATAGTTAATCACGGATCTATGTAAATGATTTCTGCTTGCACCGAAGCACGCCGAAATCGCAGTAACTCTTTTAGCATCTCCCATCCCCCATCATTTGAAGCAGGCTTAACAGTCATTCTCTCGAGCACAGGTGAATTTGCAAGCAGATAATTGATGAAATCCATCTCGCATCTGACACCGGAGATGCAAGCGATTTTAACTAGCCGCAGTTGGTTGAGGGGACAATTATTGGAATCCTCTTCCCAAAAACTTGCGTCTGTTCCCTTCACGGTCTGTTTTTCTGGGCGAGCCTGAACAATAGTTTACAATTTTAGTAACTTAAAAATTTCCCAGACAGATCTATAATCAAGAATGTTTAATGTGTAATGTGGCCCAGTACACGAGGCTCTCGCGTTGTGGGGTCTGGAGAGGGTTAGATCTACACAACCTTATTCCGACCTGTGAAGAACCTGTTTTTCATTTCGAACCTGCAATGTCCAAGTCACAATGGAGCAACCTTACTGTTGCCAAGGCCCGTCCTCCTGCCAATTCACATATATTTCAGGTAATTAGTAATTACATGAAGGGGAAAACTTACCAACATCTCAAGCTCTAGTAGGTTAGGAGAACTTCTAAGAAGGCAGAGTGCCACCAAAACCTCCTCTTTATCATTGAAGTTTATGCATACAGATAAGTAATTGAGCTCAATGCACGGCGCACGCAGCCTTCCAGGTACACGTCCATCAGCCAAGTACTGGAAACAAATGGAACATCCAAAATGGTATAATCAACACATTAGATGAATATGGATATACAGATGTCCCCACAAAATTGTATCAGTCCATTGGGTTCGAAAATGATCGATTCATATGAAAACATAAAAAAGAGGTCATTCAAATAACAAGGATACCCTTCTTTTAAGTTTCTACTTCATATTAATATTATTTTTATTTTTTGTGTATGTTTGTGGTGGATTATTTATTTTGTTTTGGGGGGGGGGGGGGAGGGAGGATAAGAATCTTCTACAAACCAAACAGAATTGTAAATTGGCATGAGAAATGCAAAAACCGATAAATGACAAGAGTAGAACCAATACCTGCAAAAAATAACTCTGCACCTCGAGCCTCTGAATTTGAGGCAGATGAGCAAAAAACTTGATCAAATTGCTAGTATTGCCACGAGTCAAGTTTTTGTCATTTCCAACATTTTTATACAAAGCAACAGAAATAATGGCTAGACTGAAGGTATTCATAAAATTAATTTCTTCGAAAACACCTCCAATGTCAAAGAATCGGAGATTTGGAGCACGGATTTTAAGATGGGTGAAATCATCAAAGTTCATTAATGTCAACCGCTCGAGAAGAGGGCAATTAGATATAAGATATTCGAATACATCTTGGTCCATGGTAACGTGCTGAAGATCAAGGTTCTTCAAGCTTCTAAACCCTTCGAATGTTGAAGGAGGTTTTAACAAACAATTAAAGACTTCTAAATGAATCAAATCTCGGAAAGAGTATACAGAAGAAGGTAGCTTGTAGCGATGACCCCTCCAAATTTCAAGTATGAATTCTTTCACAGAGAGCCTTGACAAATAAAGAATCCATCGATCAATGTCACTGACATCTTGAAGATCCCGGTGAGAAAGCTTAAACTTTTGTATTGGGCCAGTATGAAGTAAAAGGACATGATCCACAATGTTCACAAGCTTATTCTTAATGACCATCGCATCTTGAGATAAAATACATACACCTTGATTATCAAATACAAGATGAGGAAGGGTAACCCATTTGTACCTCCACTTGCTTGACAAAATACTTGTCCTCACTGCATCCCTAAGTGACATATGTGACAAAATTTTGTCCACAATATGTCCTGGTAAGTTGCTGATCTTGTCTACCTCCATTTCCATTTTGCAAGGGAGCTCAAGTGGTTCCCTTTGCTTCATAATTACTGAAAATGAAATCAATGAAGGAGAAAAGAATAAAACTAGAAGCATTTGCAGTGATAAGGAGAGGAAGACATACTTGTAAATCGAAAAATAAATAAATAAATAAATAAATGTATGCTTTTCTTGTTTACAAAATTCTAAATTTCAACCCACCAAATATTCTTTTTAACTAGGTTCACTCATATCTATAATGACCCATGAGGTGTGGATACTTCTAAAACAGAAATTCATGTAGACCTCAAATCTATGTCCATGCAACATAATCCTCATTTTTTTTAATAGGAGTTTATTATTTATAAATTACAAATATAGAGAATCTGATATTCAAAAAAAAGATTTGTCATAATTTAAGTGTATATAATGAAAAGTAATTATTTGTCTTTAATTTTTATAGATCACACATATTCTCGTACATATATATCACCAAACAGTTAATGCTGTTTGATTCTTATACATACATTTTATGCACAAATATTTACAAATGCACAAATACGAACATTTGATGTGTAATACCAGTATCTAAATTTGGTTTTTCTAGTATCTGTATCATGTTTTATTCATATCTAACATCAATGCCCATGCTTCATGGATCATGACAAAAGAAGTAATGCATGAAGAAAGATAATGTTACAATAAGCAAACATGCTACTTCACAGTGTTGATGACAATAAATGCAAGTAAAAAGTTTCTTCATTACACACACCACACTTCCTCTCACATACGGACTCAGCAAAGCTTTGAATGAGGGGCGGACCCAACATTCTGGAAAACGTTATTTTAATAGGGTCCTATAAATAGTTAAAATTTAAAACATTAAGAAGTTACTTACTTATCAATAGGGTAAAGGTAAATGAACCGGGGACAGAGCTAGGAAAAACTACAGTAAGGAAAAAATAAAAAATACAGAATAAGGACATTATAAAATTGCAATAATAAAATTAAAGAAAAAGTAGAGAAAAAACAAAATCAAAAAGGTAATTGACCACTGTGGCTTCAAAAAAGTCATAAAGGAAATTAAAGGAATTAGAAGAAGAAGAGGAGTAATAGAGAAAAGAAAAATAGAGGTTTTTTTCTAAAAAAATAAATTTTTTTTTTTTTTGGGGGGGGGGGGGGGGGGGGGGGGGCGCGGGGGATTTCTTAATATTCTACAAATATATAGTCATAAATGTAAAAAAATTATAGCTTGTGGGGCCATCTGGGGGGGCATGTCCCCCCCACCCCGCCTTAATTGGTTCCGTCCGTGAATGAGACCATAGAAGACCTAAATTGATTGTTAGAATGTATATCCTTTATAATGTTGGGTCATTATGTAATTACCCATAGTAGTTAGGGTTATTGTGTAATTAGGGTGTCTAACCCTTGTTCTTTATATAAGCCCTATTTAGAGGGCTGAATAGTGTGTGAGACAATATACACATTTCTCTCAATCTCTCTCTCTCTCTCTCTCTCCCTATCTCTCATGAATCTGAACATGGTATTAGAGCGGTATAAATTCATGGGTGTGGGAAACGACAAGTGTGTTGCCCTTGTACGAGAGCGACTGGAATCGTGAGTATGTCGTCGGTGGTTTTGCAGGAAGTTCGTGTTGCCGGTAGGTTGAGAACATCACTCAAAGCCGTCATCGTCCTTAGTCGCCGTCAGATCTGAAGCCCGTAGTCGTCGTCGTCAGATCTGCAACCTCCTTCGTTGTCGTCAGATCTGAAGCCCCTTGGCCGTTTGTGTTGTTGCCGCGTCGTTCGTCAGCAAGATCGCCGACACCCACCGTCATCATTTGCAGAGGTGAAGCTTCATCTCTGCCTTTTTTTTCTTCGTCGGAAGTTGCGGAAGTTGTGTGGTGTCGCCGTTGTGTGCTTGCCGGAGTCTGTTGGTGGGATTGTGAAGAAGAACACTCCTGTTTGGTTACGCAGCTACACTATTCCAATCCTGGTTTACTAAAACCAGGATAGCAGAGACCTATTTTTGATCCAATCCAGTTATCCAGATCCGATCCGATTCCGATTCTGCATTTTTTCCAGCTCCAACTTGTTATATCTGGACACTGCCAAGGAGATATGGACCCGACTCCAACAGTTATATTCTGGTGCTGGTAATATAACCAGAGTTTATGAGGTGTGTAGACAATTTTTTGACCTCCAGCAAGGGACTCACAGTTTAGAAGAATACCTCTCACGGGCAATGGGACTGTGTGAAGAAATGAATATGTATCAGCCCATCACCTCTAATGTGAAAAGCATGCAGCAGCAACGTGAGGATTTTAATGTCGTTCGGGTTCTCACAGGATTGTCACAAGAATATGAACCTGTTCGTGCACAGATTTTGGGTAGCCCTACATTTCCCTCTCTACCTGATATGTTATCCAGACTCCAGCATGCCACTTTATCTAGTGGCGCTACTAGAAATGCTTCCAGTGGTGTCACTGCCCCTTCTAACAGTGACGTTCTGCCTTAGTTGTAAACCAGGGTGGCTTTCAGTCTTCTCGTGGAGGTGGTAGTGGTGGTCGTTTCAGCAGTGGCCGTGGTCGAGGCAAAGGCAGAGACTCAAAAATTTGCACTCACTGCGGTCTTACTAATCACACTGTCAATTACTGTTGGGATCTTCACGGGAAACCGTCATCTTCTTCCTATGCACATCAAGTGACTTCTAGTGATGGGGATTCTTCTCTCTCTGCCACAACCACTGCTCCACATGTGGCTGTTGAGCCTACTATGGTCACGATTCCCTGGGATGAGTATGCTCAGTTTCTATCTCAACAACGGACTTCCACCTCATCTTCCATGGGGTCCTTGGCTCAATCAGGTAGTGCCCCTGCATGTCTTTTGTCCTCTAGTCAGAGTCCCTGGATTCTTGACTCTGGCGCATTCGATCACATAACTGGTAGTTCTCATCTCTTATCTGATTTTTAGTCTGTTCCTTCCTCTCAAAGTGTTACTCTTGCTAATGGATCATCAACTAAAGTCTTGGGTTTGGGAACTGTTCATCTTACCCCTTCTATGTCCCTTTCCTCTGTGTTATATGTTCCTCAATTCCCTTTTAATTTGTTGTCCATTAGTAAAATTACTAAATCTCTTAACTGTTCTGTAACATTTTATCCCACATGTTGTCTTTTCCAAGATCTCAAGACAAAGAAGAGGATTGGTACGGGACATTAAGTGGGTGGCCTGTATTACTTCAATCTTGCACCATCTCCCATGGCTCTTCAATCATCTTTGTCTTCTTTCCAATGGCACTATCGTCTCGGCCATCCCTCACTATCAGTTTTGCAGCATCAAGTTTCCGGTCTTAGTCATGTTGAGTCTATGTCTTGTGAAACATGTTAGCTTAGTAAGCATTGTCGTGTATCTTTTAAACCAAGAGCTAATAATCGTGTGGCTAGTCCTTTCCAATTAGCTCATTCAGATGTATGGGGACCAATAAAACATATTTCTATTAATGGATTTCGTTATTTTGTGACTTTTGCAGATGATCATTCTCGGATGACTTGGTTGTTTTTAATGAAAAATCGTTCTGAGTTGTTTTCTATTTTTCAAATATTTCGCAAAGAAATCAAAACTCAATTTGGGTGTTCCATTAAAGTTTTACGTTCTAACAATGCCAAAGAATATTTCTCAGACCCCGTTTGAGACTTATTTTCATGCTAAGGGCATCATTCATCAATCTTCTTGTACTTATACTCCGCAGCAAAACGGAGTAGCTGAACGTAAAAATCATCATCTTCTGGAAGTCTGTCGTGCCCTTTTATTTCATATGCATGTTCCCAAACGTTTTTGGAGTGATGCTGTTCTTACGGCATGTCATCTTATTAATAGGATGCCCTCGTCAGTGCTAAAGGGTAAATCTCCTCATTCTGTTCTATTTCTTGACTCCGTCTCGTTTAATCTGACTCCGCGGGTCTTTGGCTGTGTGTGTTATGTCCATAACCTTGGACCTGGTCTTGATAAACTCGACCCTCGTGCAACTAAATGTGTTTTTCTTGGGTATTCACGCACTCAAAAGGGCTATCATTGTTACAGTCCTCATTTCCAACGCTATTTCACTAGTGCTGATGTAACATTTTCTGAGTCTATCCCATATTTTTCAGATTCTATTACTTCTCTCGATATTACTTCTGAGCCACCTTTGCCATCGGTTCCCTCTCAGTTTCCTGTTTCCGCACCTCCTCGCTCTGCTGTCCCATTGCAGGTTTATACTCGACGACCTCGCCCGCCTACTTCGCTTCCTCCATCTCCTTCAGAGTCTTCGGATCCGACGACTTTACCTGATGATTTGCCTATTACCCTTCGTAAAGGTATTTGGTCGTGTGTTACTGCACATCCCATTTCTAACTTTGTCTCCTATCATCATATTTCATCCTCTTTATCTTGTTTTTTATCCAAAGTATTTGCTACTTTTGTTCCAAACACTTTGCAGGCTACTTTCTCTGATTTGGGTTGGCGGCAAGCCATGGTAGATGAAATGGATGCCCTCCATCGTAATGGGACTTGGGATCTTGTTCCCTTACCTCCGGGCTCCAAACCGGTTGGTTGTAAGTGGGTCTACACAGTTAAATACCTTCAAGATGGGTCTATTGAGCAGTTGAAGGCTCGCCTAGTGGCAAAGGGGTACGCTCAAACTTATGGTGTTGACTATGATGAGACTTTTTCTCCTGTTGCTAAGATTTCTTCTATTTGGATTCTTATTTCCATTGCTGCCAATTGTAACTAGCCGTTGTTCCAATTGGATGTCAAAAATGCCTTCTTACATGGTGACCTGGTTGAAGAAGTTTATATGGAGCAACCACCTGGGTTTGTTGCTCAGGGGAGTATCGTCACACTGTTTGTCATCTTAAAAAGGCCCTATATAGATTGAAACAATCTCCACGGGCTTGGTTTGGGAAATTCTCTGAGGCGGCATTAGAATTTGGTCTTAACAGATGCCAGACCGATCATTCGGTATTTCACCTGCGCACTAAAGCTGGCTTCATTTTTCTTGTGGTGTATGTAGATGATATTGTGATCACAGGTGATGATTCTGCAGGCATTGCTAAGTTGAAGTTGTTTCTGCAAAATCGATTCAACGCTAAAAACTTGGGTAAACTTAGGTACTTCTTGGGTATTGAAGTTGCTAGATCCAAGGAAGGTATAAGTTTATCTCAACGGAAATATGTGTTGGATTTGCTAAATTAAACGGGTATGTTAGGTGGTCGTCCAGTTGATGCTCCTATGGATTCAAATACAAAACTTGTGTCTGATGAGGGTGATCTATTTAATGACCCAGGCAGATTTCGCCGCCTTGTTGGGAAATTAATTTACCTCACTATCACTTAACCTGATATTTCATATGCAGTTAGCGTTGTAAGTCAGTTTATGGGTGCTCCTAGAATGCCACATTGGATTGCTGTTATTCGGATTATCCGATATCTCAAGCGAGCTCCAGGTTTTAGGTTACTATACAAATCAAATTGTCATCTCAGGGTGGAAGGTTTTACAGATGCTAACTGGGCTGGTTCTCCTTCAGATAGGAGATCTACTACAGGCTACTGCACATTTGTAGAAAGAAATCTTGTTACGTGAAAAGTAAAAAGCAAACGGTGGTAGCTCGGTCTAGTGCTGAAGCTGAGTACAGGGCAATGGCACATACCACTAGTGAGGTGACATGGATACAAAATCTTCTAAAAGAACTTGGATTGACAGTTGAAACTCCTACTCCATTGTTCCGTGATAACCAAGCAGCAGTTCACATTGCATCGAATCCTGTGTTTCATAAGAGAACCAAACATATTGAGGTTGATTGTCATTTTACTCGGGAAAAAATATTAAGTGGTAGCATCTGTACTCCATTTGTGAAGTCTGAAGATCAACTAGCTGATATGTTTACCAAAGCACTGGGTCATAATCGGTTAAGGACTATCTATTCCAAGCTGGGATTATTTGATATACATTCTCCAGCTTGAGGGGCAGTGTTAGAATGTATATCCTTTATAATGTTAGGTCATTATGTAATTACCCATAGTAGTTAGGGTTATTCTGTAATTGTGTAATTAGGGTGTCTAACCCTTGTTCTTTATATAATCCCTATTTAGAGCGTTGAATAGTGTGTGAGACAATATACACATTTCTCTCAATCTCTCCCTCGCTCTCCCTATCTCTCATGAATCTGAACAATAACTATGATCTTAAAGTGGCTCAAATTTATGTTTTCCAAAATTAGGTTTCTAAACTAAGGTTCTCTCAAAGTTTTCAAAATTAATATTTATTGAAAAACAATACATGTCGAATGATCAAGGGCATTCCAAAAAGCCTCGAATGATAGGCAGATCAATCAAAAGTTTTGTAAAATCCAGAGCCTAAATAGAAGGCTCTCCAGTATGTGTCGATCGAAGGCTTGATCGATCGAACCCTATGAAATGTTATTTTTAGAAACTCTTTAGAAGGAATCAACTTAATATACTTCATGGTTCTCCTATATTGATTATAAATATAGTCAATCTACAATAACCTTTTAAGCATCTAACCATTCTAAAAAGAGAATCCTGTTTTTAGATTGAAAATACCGTGTTCCTTAAGTATTCATCGGATGTGATTGAGGGATTAAAGCAAGAAGTTCATCAGAGAAAAAAATAAATATGTTCAAAGTATGAGCAGAAAAATCGAACAAACCATGGAGAAACAGATTGTGCAAGGCGCTAATATGTTGATGGAACACAAAACCTGGAGATTCAAGTGAAGAGTTTGTGTGTTTATGTCAAGAGGTACCTAAGGGATTCTAAGGTGGGAATCTGGTAACCTGGTTGTACTATCTCTTTCTCATAGTAGATTGTTCATGACTGGAAAAAGTCCTGTGATTTTTTCCTGTTCAGGATTTCGGCATAAAAAAATCGCAGCTCTGCTCTCTTTTTATTTTCTATCCTTTATGTGATTGTGTAAGTGAGCATTAAACAACAAAATTTGAAACAAATGAATTTCAATCCACAATCAATGGTAATTAAAAATTTAGTTAAATTTTTTTTTAAAAAAAACCCATGAGAGCAATTCACCCCCTCTAGGTCTTATTTGCCTCACATACTTTGTTCTAATCAGAGCATAGGGTGACAGCCCTATATTTCACACTACATTTTCATTTTTTCATCTGCAAGCTAGATGCAATTAGCTCCATATTATTATAGTCTTTTCTTTATTGCCAATGACAAATATAGCTATTACTTTCCATAACAGAATGCAAGGATGCCTAAGGTACAAGATCGAAAAGAAAATATTTTTTGCTTTTTTAATTAGACATGGCTACAAGTGTTGGTTTCCAATATAACAACAGCATTTCGATTTTGTAACATCACAAATTTATATTTCATAACAAGGTGTATGCATATTCCGTGAACAAAAGTAATGTCAAGGTCTATATGTGGTGTCATTTTAGTGGAAGGTTGCACCAACATTGAAAGTTGTGATTGTAGAATAAAGACAAAGCCCAAATACTGAATTGACATCTTGCTTCAACCTCCATCAAGAACACAAATACACAATATAAAAAAAATAAGTGACGAAGAGACAATCCCGAAGTGAATAAATTAGGAAACTCGAATTAATTTAGAGTTATATCCAAAACTAATTATTATTTAGCTATAATATAATTATAAATTTATACTTATCAAAAATATATATATACTTATAAATTTAAAGGTCAATATTATTTCGTTAGGATTAAATTTGGAAAACTTATATATTGATTTTAAGTTGAAAACCAATTTAAAAGTTGTTTTTGCACTGTTCAGTGGATAGGGAGGGATGGAATATGCTTCTTGCCTTGTTTGGTATTTGTTGGGTCATGCCATTATCTTTGAGGAGCATGCTTGAAGCTTAAAGGGGATGTATAGTAAGCAAGTCAGCTTGAGACACTTGGAAGGTTGCTTCTTTGTGTATTTGGTGGGGGTATATGGCAGGAGAGGAATAGGAGATCCTTCGAAGGGGAGGAAACTTCTATTTGAGCTTTCAAATTACTTATTCTTAGTACATTATTCTTTGGGTTAGTGGGGGTTATCGTAAATCTGTGGAAGATATCTTGTTTATTGTGTATAGTTTGAGTTCCCTTGTGGTTATGTGCAGTTGTATTTGGGACACACTCCTTTTTGAGTGCCTTTTGATATTATCATAACTTATATAAAAAAGTTGTTTTGGTAAGGATTTTTAAGTTGTAAAAATTGACCTCTGTGTTTTCAAAAGATTTATTAAAAATAAAACACTTTGAATTTCGTTTGAACTTTATATATTTGAAACTAAACTTAATAAGCTTTCTAACAATATATTGTGTGACTAATTTCGAGTCTGTTTGACCCTTCAAAGAAATGTCCAAATTCAAGCTATGCGTTGTCAAGTTCAGAAGAAAAAGGTCAATCGATCAAAACCTGAATGTCAATTGATCGAAGTTACTCCAGAATAGCTCAATTGAGGGAACCCAGAAGTTGCCGATGAATTAATCAAATGATGCCCAGAGGTGGTAAAGACGTGCTTCCAAATCTGAAAAGGTTTCTACACCTTCCAAAGCATCAATTTTTAATTACTCCAATACTATAAAAAGGAGTTGTAGAGTTCTCTAAACATAAACATAAGGTTTACAACTGCGAGACATTAAGAGCTTCATTCTTATTCAATCACAAGTGAGGTTTTTCGTAGAATACGCTATATTATTGTGTGATTGAGTTCTAAAGTAAGGAGCTTCATTAAATATTTAAGATTGACCAACCACAATACTTACATATTAAGATTGAATGGATAGTGGCTGAGACCACTTTACTGATAGAGAAACTATATCGTGAGGAGTGAAATATGTTGACAAGCGGATAAACAACTTGGAGACTTTTGGGAGAAAGTTTGGCGCCATCTGTGTCGGGGAGGTTACTAAGGGTTTCTAGGATTTCGGAAACTGTTAACCTAGTTTGTAAATTTCCTTCCTCTAGCACCTGTGGTTTTCTTCCTTTGGGGTTTTCCATGTGAAAATCATGTGTTCTTGTGTGGTTGCATGATTTATTTATTTCTGTTATCTATACTTAAATGGTTTATATTCCTGCGTTCTAATATGATAATTAAAAAATTAGTGATTGCTAGTTCAAATTGGATAAGATTTATTCACCCTCTCTAGATCTATATTGGGCCTTATGCTAACTTTTGTATCAGAGTCATTTTATCAGGTATCAGGCTCTAAACAGGAAAAGGAAGAAGTTTTATATATAACAGATCTGCCTTTCTGTCAGTACTTTGAAGAATAAAGAACCATACCTCACTTAATATTCTCTAATGGGCAAGCTAAACAAAGTTATACAAGTTAGTAAGAGATGAATTCAATAAAAGATTAATCAAATGATGTACCCGAAAGAAGTTTCTGATGATAACATTCAAGTCCATGGTTGTTGAACAAAAAATCACTGCAGAAGATAATCAAAGTATTACAAGATCCCGAGCAAGTAGTATTTCTTTGATAAATAAAAATCAGACCATTACTAGTGAATTTTTGCCTTGCGAGGGAGGTAAAGGAAGACCATTGCACAATAAGTAAGAAGAGAATATGAAAGCAGGGTAGGTAGCCCACTTTTTACACCAAAATTGATTTTCAAAAACTTTGAGACCAACTAAAATAGGTCTTTGAGCATAATGCACCCAGAAACAACCGGGTAATTTAGTGGGGAGAGAAGTTCCATCGATAAACTTCTCCTAGCAACTATAATGTATCATCATAACAGGTCCAAAACCTTCTGAACAAGGCTATCCAAAAATAAGTAAGTCAAAATTTCCTGTCCTTTAAAGCAAGGAACTTTTTCACAGGCTTTGATGAAAAGCTCATTAAATTTTGTTAGGGTGGCTCAACAGGTCATTCTAACTACCGAATTCTCTAGAACTTTCATCAACACTAGATGTGATATTTCGCATAAACAAAGAATTTAGTCACAAAAAAATTATTAACTGAGGCTGTTTTGCTGCACGAATGTTCCAAAGATGAAATGAAATGTCATATTCTTGTAATCAAATATGGTGCACCTCTAACTGGCATTTTGTAGCTTAAAGAAAAAAAATGAATGTACAGTTTATGTGGATACTTGTGGAAGACTATGTTACCTGGACTTAGATACGTTTGTTGGGTACAGGTATCAATCCATGTGTTGGATGTGCAAAAGGACACATGGACAAGGCTAAATATTCGTATTATTTCATTCATTTTGAAGCAACAATATAATAATATTGAATTATTGGATTTGCTTTTTGGGTGCATGTCCAACCAAAAGTGTCGGACACATATCCCATACTCATGTTCGAGTATGGTGTGTCCAACATGGGTACTTCACCCAGTTTTGAAGAGCCTATGTAACATAGGTGGCATATCAGTTCACATATCATTTAGATCATGAAGAGAGAGAAAATAAAAAATAAAAAAATAAAAAAATCAGGAGGACAAAATAATAACACAAAGCTGGAAAATAAATCATACTCAATCACACTATATAGGACAAAATCATACCAAACTTACTTATGGGGGAAAAAATAAAGAGACTTTTCCTGATTTTAATCATACCCACAAAGCAATTTTTCAAGGGACAAAATCATTTTGAGATGTGTTTATTATTACAATTATTTATCAAAAAATAAAAATAAAAATAAAGAAAAACCAAAAGAGTAACACGTGAATTCTAGAAGGACAACTTTGTCACACACAGCAATAATTTCCACCACTGAATCCAAAGAGGATCCTAGGTTTGCCTCCTCCAATAACTAAGACCAATAAGAACATGCTTTCTATAACAGTAGAATAATGAACAATTCAATCTTCTTATTTATTTATTATTTTTATTTATTTATTTATTTATTTTTAAATGGACCCACGGCATTCTGGGTTAGACTAAAATTTACATAATTTGAAGTAGACATTAAATTTTCTGTAGGAGGATCAATCACAATTTTCGCAACATCAATTTCAATGTTTGAAATAAAAGCCCCATTTCACAGGCACAGATGAATTAAAGAATCATTATCAATTTCTCCATGAGGAAATAACACTACTTGTATCACCCACTTTACGTCTACCAAACCAATGCCTTAGCAAGATGATAACAGTTGCCAATCCTTCTTGTTTCATTACAATAATCTAAAACAATTAAAAAAAGAAATACAAAAATTTGACATATCACGACTGTGTATGAGTGTACACAAACATATATACATATATATATATATATATATAGGCAAGAAAGAGAAAGGAAATTAAAGTAGTAACTCCTTACCAGCAAGCAAAGAGCAAGCCCTTCTTCTCCGACTGTGAAGACTTCGCAGAAGAAATCGACTTTTTATATATAAATAATTGATATGTCCACAGAAATGTACATAAAGGCAGGCCCACAGTTGAATTATTTTTTGGGGTCAATATTAATGTCTCGTCCAGGCCTGGGCTGGTTTTGTTTGAGATGGATATATGCACAGAAATGTCCAAAAAGGCCCAAAATTGAATTTTGTTGCCTGACTCATTCATATAGGGCTACAATTCGGCCGTGCCCAACCCGAAATAACTCGAGCCCAGTCAGAAATTGTGTGGGCTTGGGTAATATTTTTCTAATTTCTGTTCAGGCTTGGATTATATATTTTGAGGCCGAATTCAATTCGGGCTGGGCTTGAGTTGATATGGATAAAGCTTGAAGCCCAATCCGAGCCCGAAAATATTATATATATTTATGATTATACTTGTGTTATAAGAGTGTAGTAGTCAAGTTGGTTGGTAGTGTGCTTGAGATTTTTCATCTTCGGTAGGTTTTTTTTTTTTAACACACTTTACCCATTTATTTATTATTTATTTATTTTAGTGTTTGTATTTAGTTTTGCATTCAAGCACTTGCAAGATAAACAATATTAGCTATTAGCGTATCACCATTATGCCATAGCCACAGGCCCATTGTAAGTCAATTGTTGAATATTTTACACTATAGTAGTATTGGTGTTGGTTATGGGATGTTTTGAGTTCAAAGTCTCCATATTTGTGTCTGATATTTCTATTCCTTTTGTCTCTATTTACACAAAATTTTTTTTTTTTTTTTGGGAAGGTAAAATGTGTGTGTGTGTGTATATATATATATAAAGATAATTACAAAGCATAAGGCCCAACCATTGGACAAGCCCAATGGAAGGGAAAATTCATTCCAAAGCGAAGGTCGCTCCTTTCTAAGGCAATACGCCCAACAAATCTACAGGATGCCCAAAATATTCTATATGCATTTGGAACTTTTTTTTTTTTAAAAAAAAGGGTAAAACCTAAAGGCAACTTTTAATCTTCCGTAGTGAAACTAAGGTTTTTAAAATCGGTATTCTATGTAAAATCAAAAAAGCAGAATCAGATTGTGAATCGTAACATTTTACAAAATTGTAAAAAAACAATTCAAACTAACTTTGGTGTGTCCGTTGAATACTAAAGTACAAAAGTGTGTAATGTGGCCACGTTTGAATTTATAGAATGCCATTATCACTACTAATTAAAATATAGCAAGAGTGAGTAGGAATCATCCTAAGGGAAATGAAGCGTGTTTTGTAATCAATTGTTAGGTTAGTAGGTCGAATGATCAAAATATGTATTTGATTTGATTAAACTATGGTTCAATTAAAACAATGCAAGTAAATAACAATCTAGAAATTAGAGAAAAGATATATGAGAGAGAGGTTTTGGGGCTTAAAGTTCACCACTAAACTTCACTTCACCAAACACTAGCAATTGTAAATTAATGGGGAAATTCAAGTTGTAAAATGTGTGTGTGTGTGTGTGTGTCACTTATTGAAAACTAATCATGGATGGCAAATAAGCATAGATTATCTAGTCAATCTAGTGAATAGCACAACCTATCAAATGAGACCAATAACCATTCAATTAAAACACAATTAGTGCATCTAGAAAATTGTACTTTTTGCAATTATAAGTATGGAACATCAAACAATAAGAATGGATTGTCCACCTATCTAAGAAATTAAAGGAATTACACTACATTAGTGACATGAAAATTAAACTAAGGGTGTGGCACAATCCATCAAGAAACAAGTATGAACCATCAAATAAATCATAAGAGTATTCAGTTAAGTACCATGTTTTGACCATCACTAGACTAACAACATCAATATACATAGACATGCATTAATTTCATAAAATCTAGAGAAAAACACATAAACATTCATTCTAGCATACATAGACATATGGATAGAACTAAATGATCAATTGCAAACATTTATACATACAAATCTAGTAAAAATCACAAGATCTATATTTATTCATGGTCAAAACATTTATTACAACTAAAATTCCCAAAAATACACAAAAGTTAGGTTTAGGAAGCAAGCCTAGGGGCTATCTCTAGCCCCAAGTGAAGGATTTAGCCACTCATTGTAATGGTCATAGAACCCTCAAGAGCTAACTTGGAGGTTGGCATCATCATCTTTATCCTTACTTTTCTTTCCAAAACCCTAGTTCTAGAGAGAACTATATATATATATACATATTGTAAAATATCTATTCCTATGAATGATATAAGATAATGTTCAATTAATTAATTACAAGCCTCTTTGAGTAGACACCAAGTTAGAAATACAACATATGATTGGAGAAAATTCGCAACTACACAAATTAGGTAGAGTCTAGCGCGCTCGGGAATTAGACAGCACACTGCCAGCAGGCATCTCGATCGATCGAAGATCTTCGATTGATCAAACACTTAGTTTAGACACCAATTCAGAAATACAACATATGATTGGAGGAAATTCGC